TTCTCCTGAGAATTTGTGGCCACCCTGGAGTAAAAAACTTTTCCTTGCAGGGTCACAGCTCCGAGATGTGCTCCAGACAAAGCGCGTGCCACGGCTGCTGCTGCTGCTGCCAGGGCAGCTCCCAGTCCCAGAGCTCCTCCGGCGGGGGAGGAGGCGGATCCTGCTGCGGTGGAGGATCCTCCGGAGGATCAGCCCAGAAGATCATTATCAGCTCTGGCGGCGGAGGAGGAGGAGGAGGAGGAGGAGGCTCCTCCGGGTGCTGCGGCGGAGGATCCGGTGGTGGATCCTCAAAGAGCATGATGGGAGGTGGTGGTGGAGGAGGAGGAGGAGGATGCTGTGGTGGCGGATCTGGCGGTGGATCTTCTGGGATGAAGATCATCATGGGAGGTGGAGGTGGTGGCGGAGGAGGAGGAGGATGCTGCGGTGGTGGATCCGGTGGTGGATCCTCAAAAAGCATGATGGGTGGTGGTGGCAGTGGAGGTGGATGCTGTGGTGGAGGATCCAGTGGTGGATCCTCAAAGAGCATGATGGGAGGTGGTGGTGGAGGAGGAGGAGGATGCTGTGGTGGAGGATCCAGTGGTGGCTCTTCTGGGATGAAGATCATCATGGGAGGCGGAGGTGGTGGTGGAGGAGGAGGATGCTGTGGTGGCGGATCCGGTGGTGGATCCTCAAAAAGCATCATGGGTGGTGGAGGTGGTGGTGGAGGAGGAGGATGCTGTGGTGGCGGATCCAGTGGTGGTGGATCTTCTGGGATGAAGATCATCATGGGAGGCGGAGGTGGAGGCGGTGGAGGATCCAGTGGCGGATGCTGCGGTGGAGGATCCGGCGGTGGATCCTCAAAAAGCATGATGGGAGGGGGAGGCGGTGGCGGTGGAGGCGGATGCTGCGGTGGAGGATCCTCCGGAGGATCAGCCCAGAAGATCATCATCAGCTCTGGCGGAGGAGGAGGAGGAGGAGGCTCCTCCGGCTGCTGCGGAGGGGGATCCGGGGGAGGCTCCTCGGGAGGGAAGATCATCATGGGAGGGGGCGGCGGTGGAGGTGGAGGATGCTGCGGTGGCGGCTCCTCTGGCCAGACCATCATCATCAGCTCTGGAGGAGGCGGCGGAGGCTCCTCCCAGCAGAAATGTCCCGTTGTCATCCCCAGCGTGGTGTCCCACCAGACCAAGCAGAGCTCCCACTGGCCTGGCCAGCAGAAGTAACAGCCCTGAGCAGGGAGCAGGTGAATCCCTGCGCTCCAGGATGGCACATCCCTGTCCCTCGTGTCCCCTTGGTGCTGCATCCCTGTGCTGTGAACTCCCAGGTGGCTCCTCTGTGCCATAAATGTGACGGGAAATAAAGATTTCTGTGCGCAGAACTGGTTTGTGAGGTTGCTTCTCTCCTTTGTCAGTTTCCTGACCCAAAAATTAATAAAACACCCAAAATGTTCTGCTGGGAAATGTTCTCCAGCCTCCGGTGCTGGAGCAGGTGCTCACCAACAGATCTTTCCTACATCCAACCGAATTTTCCCCTCTTTCATCCTGACCCCATTCCCTGTGTCCTGTCCCTGCAGTTGCTGAGGAAAAATCCCTCTCCAGCTTCCCTGGAGCCCCTGCAGATCCTGGGAGGGGCTCTGGGGTCTCCACAGGCTCAGCATTCCCAACATTCCCAACATTCCCAGCCCGGCTCTATGGGGAGGGTCTTCAAGCCCTTCATCAACTTCATGGCCCTCTCTGGACTTGCTCCAACAATTCCACATCCCTTTTATGTTGGGGACACCAGAACTGGACGCAGAATTCCAGGTGGGATCTCACCAGAGCAGAGTAGAGGGGAAAAACCCCTCCCTGACCACGCTGCCCTTTGGATGCAGCCCAGAGTTGGCTTTCCTCTCAAAGAGGGAAAATCCGCTCAAAAAAGATTCCCAAAGCCCTCTTTGGAACAGGTAGGATTAGTCTTGAGTCCAGTAAGGTTTAACTTTAAGCCCAGAGGGTTTTTGTTCACCTCACAAACACACCCGGAAGGGAGGAAACAAAATTAGAAATCAAAGGGATCGCCGGCCGTGATGCTCTTGAGGGACCACGACTGACAGACTTTTGGGAAAACCGGAGAGTTCTTCTCCAGGATCACCGCCCCCATTGTCAGCATCACTCAGGGAATCTGGTGGGAAAAGGGATCCAGGGTGCTGCGGGGTCTGGCCAGGGATTTGTCCTCTCTCTTACCAACCACCCAGCGAGGTGTTTGCAGTGAGGACATGGAGATTGCAGGAGGAGGAACTGGAGGGTTCCAGGACTGCAGGGGAAAGGGCCCAGCAGAGAATCACCAAACTGAGAACGTGTCCCCAAAGCCTTTTACATCCCCGCTTCCCTTTAGCCAACACAGGCATCCAAATTTCTCCCTGACCTGGGAGAGGTTATGGTTGTGCCCGCCCTTCCGGCAGCTGCGTGTCCAGCTGTGCTTTTCCTCCACCTCTGGCCAACAAATCCACGTGCTACAGGTCCCAGGGGCTCCAAAAACCTCCGTGGTTTGCAGGAGCTCCTCTCAGCACCCCTCCAAAAACCTCCACG